TACAGCCCGCATCCGTATACCTTTGGTGAGTGCTATATTCGCCATTTCGGAGCCGCACCACATACACACGCATCCAATTCTTACAGCCAGCAGATACACATGTCACAGCGCCACCAGCAACAGATGTACCAGCAGCAGCAGTTGCAGCAGCTCTACCAGGAGCGGCAGCGGCAGTTATTCCAGCACCAGCAGGTGTACCAGCAACACCAGCAGCAGGTAGAGCAGCAGCAAAGGAGCGACATGTACAACCCGCAGTTGTCGATTAAAAAGAAGCCATATGCGCAGCCCACAGCTGCCTATGTGCCGCCTGCCTCCGTGCCATCGTCCCCAACGCCCTCAGCAGCACGACCGCCTCCTCCTCTGACCGAGGCAACAGGTACACGCCAATCCAGGCCAAGGCCGACAGAACAAGGCCACAGGAGAAACAGGACTCGAAATACGCCGATTTTGACTGGTCGCCGTTGACTCTTCCGCTGATCAAGCAGTGCGAGAGCCACGGGTTTCAACGCGCCATCGGCGTCGCTGCTGGAAAACATGGCATATATCCCAAAGTACTCACCCACGTCGTCGGCTATCCAGAGTGCCTGCAATTCAATTCCGCACAGCCCCCACATGGGTGCTACCCAGACCAGCCACCCGCAGATGATGGCAGTGGAGAGGGTACGGGTGCTCGATGTGGGAGTCGGGCGAGTATTTTGGAGCCGCTGGCCCAGACTGCCCGTACTCAACATGCACCGTATGGATCGCAGTCGTATTACCGCTGAAGCAACTGCAGCGCTTTGCTTTCTGCCTCAGTTCGTTGGTGGACCACTACCGTTATACATAGCTCCCTATTCCCCGTCTCCACCCTCACCTCCACTCTCCAGGGGCACTGTACATCCTTTCTCCTTGGATTCATGAGCCTTTCAATACAAACACCTCCCCATTTAGTCTGCCAAGGAGCACAAGGAAAACCCTGCTGGAATTGCTGCTCATGCTCACATTCTGCAAATGCCGACTTTCATGCGCAGTACCGATCGATATGCGCAGCTAGGACATGCATGAGTCCTTCGGCTGAACGCATGCGCCGATATCGAGCCCCGAGCCGGCCAGAGGATTACTAAAGCATCGTGCCATATCGGATACGAAAAGACTGGTGCAAGTGCGAGGATTGATATGAAGAAAGTTTTATGAATAGCTCCAGACACGGCAAAAGGCTTACAAAGGAGGAGACTCACAGCAGCATCCAGCCTGCCGACGCCAGCACGATGGCCCAGGTACCGGCTGCAATACGAGATGCTGGTGCCGCATTCAAGTACTTGCCTCTGTAGTAGTACATGGGACCAGCGGACTTCCACCCATCGAGCGCCTTCTTGGTAGTCGTACGTGGCCTTGCCTGTGCGCCAGTTTTTCTTCTTGGCCTTGACATGCTCAACCTGCACCTTCTTGTGCTGCATGGTGTCGCCATCCTCATCCTCAATCTCCTTGCCGTCGAGGCCAGTGTGCGTGTTTTTTGCCTTTTCCCTTGCCCTTGCCCTTGCTGCTACTCTTTGTATCCTTGGAATCCTTGGTGTCCCTTGAATCCTTTGTGTCCCCTGAATCCTTTGGTTGTCGTCGTCGTCACCATCAGCATCAGACGAGCTCTTGCCCTTGGACTTGGATCCACCCTTCTTGCCCTTGGGACTTGGATCCGCTCTGTCAGACTTGTCCGCATCATCGTCGGCCGCATCGTCATCTACATCCCTGCCCTTGCTTCTTCCTTTGCTCCTGCTCCTGCTCTTGGCCGCACCCATCTCATCGCCATCCCCTGACCCGTCGTCACCATCCTTCGCTGCGCTCTTCTTTTTCGCACCACTGCTCTTCGGCCCGCTGCTTGTGCCAACCTTAATATTGACTTCATCCGAGCCCATTTCCTCGTCCCCATCCAAATGGGCGTGCGCACCATGGTGCAGCTGTGGGTGCACAGCTATATTGCTGACTCGATCGGCCGGCACGAGGTCCTGGGACTTGATGCTCATGGCAGCTTCGTTCGGGTCGAGCGCTGCCGCTGCTACAGGGTTGGCGGCGTCTTCGCTGCCGATCTTCTGCTTGTTCAGCCGCATTGCTGGCATAAGGATTTCGGGCGTGCGGCCGGCCAAATGCGTGCTGATGCTGAATTCGAAGGCGCTGCCGAAGGGAACAGTGGTTATTGCCAAAGCTATGTGGACTAGTACGCAGAGAAACAAGCGGCCATGTCCCAATGACAGAGCTGCTCTCATGATAAGCGGCAGGGAACGTTGATGCTGAATCTGAAATATGTGCTATATGTAAATGCCAAAAAAAAGCCCCTTGTTGCACGGAGATTGATATATGGAACTGATGCCAAATGCAACAAAAAGTAAAATCTGCTTTCAAAAATAGAGTAGCTGAGCTCTGTGCAAAATAGACTAAAGGGAAGAGAAGCGGAAAGGGGGAGCTAGTGCCAGGGAGAGCTAGTGCGGAGACCAAAAGCTATGGCATAGCTGGCTTGGGAGGGAGATGCGTGTGGACCAGTATCTGGGTATTTGTAAACTGTCTCAGACATCGACTACAAAAGCGCCCGGGAGACACCTCGCATGCGTGCCCGTGTTGAGGAGAGATGGAGAGGTGCATAGCGTTTGCTGTCAGGAACAGGGTGTGCGTTAATATGAATTGCATGTGGCCAGCAGAAGGGTGTGCTGGCAGGGTGTTTGCAAGACCTTGGCTGATGGCAATATGAGGACAGCATGGTGTATGTTTCATACAGCATACGAAATCCAATATTGGTATGCGATATCTCTCCCCCGCGAAAATGAAACAGGCGCTTTCGCCACTTCTCCATCCCCGCATCTGAGGGAATCGGGGATACAGCAGCCTGCGTCGCTTTGCTAAGAAATAGAGCTAATGAGACATCTTGCTAGAAGCAGCACCTTTAACTTGACAGATCTATCTAACCAGCCACATCATTAGGTAGCATCCAGCTGTTATCAGCAAATACCCGAACCGCCCTGGCCACTAGGGCCGTCGCCTGGGTCGTTCTTCTTGTGACGCTTGTTCATGCCAGCGTTAGCGCAGCTGTGCGTGCTGCCAGAGGAGCCCGATGCCTCCGCATCGGCGTACCCATGCTGCGACGACGAATTCGAGCGCGGCCGTGTCTCACCCACCTGCGGTGACATCTGGTCGCCCGCATCTGTCGGCAAGTGACCCGCGCGCGCCTCATTAGAATCACCGGCAACCGCCTGCAAAAGCGTCGACCACTGGGCCGACAGGCTCACTGGGCTGGCGCCCGAGGTGAACTGCAGGGGGCCAAAGGACCCAGGCATTGCACCGCGGGTAGAGGCAAAGATTGCGCTGCGGCTGGGTCTGCTGCGAATTCGCCGCTGGCGTCGCAGAGTCCTGGGCATCGGAAGGGCGTGGGGGTGCACCAGCCGTGGTGGCTATGGGCTCGAAGCCGAGGACCATGGATGTGAATGAAAAACGGCGAGTCGCTGGTGCTTGGCACAGACATGCCTTGTGCTCCACTGCTGCCGCTGAAGGTGGAAAATATGCGTGGTGGGTGGCCGCCGGTGCCGCCAGTGACTGAGCCAGCGGCCCGAGCCATATTCGGTGGTGGTGGAGCGGTCGGACCGATCGTCGCCCAACGAGGCCTGGCTGCCGAGCGTGTACAGGCGGTCAATGAAGCCGAGGAAGTTTGGGTTGGCGGCGAGATCCTGCTGGGCGTTAGATGTCTCCGTGGGTGTTGGCTGCGAGGATGCTGCTGGCTGCGGCCGGCAGGTGCTGGTTGTGAGGAGGTTGCTGGCTGCGGCTGGGCGGGGGCGGGGGCTGGTGTTGGCTGAGCAGCACTGCGCATTCTGCGGACCAGCTCGGATGGGTCGGCAATGGTGTCAATATAGACATCGAGTATATTTCCGTTCTGCAGAGTCCGGGTAGCATGCATGCGCGTGCTGTCTCCTGTGCTTGGTGCAGCACGACCAGATGCTGTATTTGCTCCATTGTCATGTGCCGTTGGCGCTGGAACTGAGTTGACCACGTTCCAGAAAGTGTTTCGACCTGTCGCTGCTGAACCAGCGGTAGCAGTCGAAGCCGAGGCAAGAGCTGAAGCACCAAACCTCTGTGCAGCCTGCATGGTTGCTACATACGCCTGCGTATTAGGTCTCTGTGTCTGTGCATCCGCTGCTCCATGCTGCATCCCGGCGGGCGGGGCTGGGTGGGTCCATGTAGCCATGGACTCGACAACCATTTGGGGCGCCAGGAACTCTGTGTAATCGGCTGACACGCCCGGACCAAAGAACATAGCGTTCCCTGGGCTCGACAACAGCCCCATGGCCATGCGGCGGGTTCCGGCGGCGGCCATGTGAAGCTGACACGCAGAGAATATGGTCATGTCTTGATGCCGACACGCCTCGGGTTGTAGGGTTTGGTGCGGGCGGACGGCAGCTCGGCTGGCAGCTGCACCGAGCTTTCAAGGAAGGGCAGTGCCAGCGGTGCTGCGGCCAGAACCTGGCGGGCAGCCTGGGCCGCGCGCTCGGCAAGCTGCGACCTGTCCTCGGCATCCGCCTGCGACTCGCCATGGGCAGTGTCCCGGATACCCAGGCCGATGTGCTGGAACATGCGGCCGACCTCGACCAGGGCACTGCCCAGGTTCCTGACTGCCAGACCAGCAGCGCCCACCTGCTCGACAGCAGGCTCCGAGTGCGAGATGTACCGCGACTGCCTTGTCGACGGTCTATCGAATTCAAAGTTTTCCCTGCCGGGCACGCGGCGTACGGCGGGCAGGATGTTCTCAAGCAAATCGTAGATGAGCTCGTTTGCCTGGGAGCGCGTTGGCTGCGGTCGTGTCGCGACTACCACGCGCTGTGGTGCCATTTCCTGGCCGCTGGTGGTTTGCGAAAACACAAGCCCAGGAATCGGCGTTCCCGAGTGCTCTGACTCGCTAGCCGGATACAGAGCCGTTCTGGGGACAGTCCCGCGGCTCATCTCCTCGTCCGTCAGCAGATTCCCGCTCGGCGGCTTCCCGGTCAATGCGGTACATGCTGCCGGTCAAAGTCCTTGCGATCCACTCGCCGCCATCGCCGGCTCCAAAGTTCCGGTACACCGTAGCGATGGTCCGCCCCAGCCGGTCACGCTGCTGCTGCTGGTCCTGCTCGGATCGCACATTCTCCGGAGCATGGAAGTAGATGGGAATGTCGACGGTCACCGAGCGCCCGGCTCCCTGGCGCCCATCGGTAGCTGCTCGCCCCTGTCCAGGTGATTCGCGCTGCTGGCTGCTGGCAGCATCGCTGTTTCCGGCTGTGGCAGCGGGGCGCACAACCATATGCAAGGCACAGCCATCCTCCCACCCCGGCGTCTGCTAGCCTCTGGCTGTCGTTGGCAAGCACCCGCCCGCTGAAAATAAGTCGCAGCCGGTGTACTGCCACCTGGCTTTTGCTGGACAGCTTCGTGCGGAAGTCGCCGACTGTCGCGCTGGGCTGGACTTGTACTCGGTACTCGCGCTCTGCGCCGCCTTCCAGAAGCGCTTTGACGCGAAGGCTCCACCCGCCTGTAGCGCCAGCGTTGCCCGCCAAGCTGTCGGCGCTGTCGTCTCCGATATCTACAGTAGACATGATGCGTGTGCGCAAGGTAAATAAAATACAGAAAAGAGGCTCCTCCCTGGAGAGTAGAGAAGGGCAGTCGCTAAAGCGTCAAAGGGCCTGGAGAGAACGTAAAAGTAGGTAGGATTGCAATTTCGCAAAGGAACCATTGGAGGAGAAGAGAAAGAGGTCGGAAAAGGACATGAACGAAAAATCCCAACGCTCACTGTGCCAGCTGATGACTAAAAATGGCCGGACAATACCCATGTCCGCCTGCCTGCAGCAGCGCTTCCAGCTCAGCTTTGTGTTGGCCAGCAGTGAGCCAGCTACCGCACCAGAAAATGACAAGTGCTATATGACACTGGGATCCTCTAGACACACAGCCCGGCACATGCGAGCAGGGTGTCAATGTCAGTGGCACCTGCTGCCATTGCCATTGCATGTATCTGCTGCTTCTACAGTGGCAGTATCGGTGCTGTCGTCATGTCCCTGCGCTACATGCCCAACTGTCTTCCATTTTTTGTGCTATAATTGCGAGTAAACGCCATATGTGCAGTAGGAATCCGACCCGAGGGTCTGCGCTGCGCCGACCTCCCCTCATCGTTGGGTGCTATTTCAGGCCCAAGAATGCTGCTCCCTGCCTCCCCTCACTCGGCACGTGCGAGTCGGCTGATGCAAGGTGAGCGCTCGCAAGGCCTCGATTTATCGCTTGTTAGCAGACGTCACCCGCTTAATAGTGTCCATGCCTGCCATCTCTAAACCCCGTGCCCACCAGCCCTTCGCTGCAGCAGCGCTCCTCTTCTTACCAGTTCCCAACACAATAAATTCCACCGTATTTTCTATCATAAATGGGACAAGATAAATGTCGAGCAAATGCTGGCTATTGAGGAGCCCTTCATGAAGGTAAGCTGGTGCATTCCACCTCCTGTCAAAGCCAGAATGCACACGGGGCTCATTTTTCATTCGGGTGCCTTGTAGGTGCCGTTGGAGCAGCTGAAGCGGGCAGTGCGGCAGTCGCAGAAGCAGACAGAGCGGGACACAAAGGATGTGAGCTCGACAGTAAGCAGCCTGATAAAGCGGTCAGGCAGCGCGGAGGCCGGGGACATCGACGGGGCCCTGGACGGAATGATAGACAGACTGAAAACCCTGAAGCGCAAGCTGGAGGTGGTCAAGCAGGAGGAGGCATTGCTCATCCAGCGGTCAAAGCAGCGGGCCATGCAGCTCAACGAGCTCAGCACATTCACGTCATCAACACAGCCCGAGTTTGAGCGGTGGTGTCGGACACGGCTCGACCGCGTGCTGATAGACTACATGCTGCGCAGCGGCCACACATCGACAGCACAGCAGCTGATAGACAGCAATGGCCTGGAGCATTTCGCTGACTCGTCGCTATTTGCACTGGTGATGCGGATTGAGCGGGACCTGAAGGAGCAGCACCTGTGCCGGAGCACGCTGCAGTGGGTGCGCCGACAACCGCAGTGCGCTGCGCAAGATTGGATAGCTCGCTAGAGTTTGAGCTGCGCCTGCAAGAGTATATCGAGTTAATCAGGGCGCGCAACACTGCAGAGGCCATCGTCTATGCCAAAAAGCACCTGGTGGCATGGTCAGAGACCCAGATGCCTCGCATCCAGCGCGCCATGACATTGCTGGCGTTCCCGCCCGACACCCCATGCCCGCCGTATAGGGCCATGTTTGATATTGGCCGGTGGGACACCCTGGCGCAGGAGTTCCGCATGGTGATATTCCAGCTCCACCACCTGCCATCACAGCCGCTGCTGCACTTGCTGCTGCAAACAGGGCTCTCGGCACTCAAAACACCGGCTTGCATCTCGGACGACGACGCCGAGCACAACCGCAACTGCCCCGTGTGTCAGCGCGACACCCTGGGCAAGCTGGCCCAGGACCTGCCGCTCAGCCACCATGTCAACTCGAATCTGGTCTGCCGCATCACCGGCGAGAACATGAACGAGGACAATCCGCCCATGCGTCTGCCCAATGGCTATGTGTACTCGTTCAACTCGCTCAACGAGATGGCTGCCAACAACAGCGGCAAAGTCAAGTGCCCACGTACCAGCGAAACATTCGGTCTGGCCGAGTGCAAGAAGCTGTTCATCAGCTAGCTATGTCCGTGCGTGCCTAGAATCTCTGCTGTTCGAAATCGAGTAACAGTCTTTTCGCCATATCGCCCAATCCTTGTGTCAGGTCACCTGTAACGAAAGTAGAGGCCTTGATCACGCCGTGGTAATGTTCGGCACCGATTACAGCCTGGATCAGCGAATTCTGATCTAGCCTCTAAGGAAAAAAAAACTCGATGCAACGCCAACTTTTTCCCCTCACCTCGCCTCTTTTACTCCAACCGCCAATCCATAGCACCTGGAAATCTCTATTACTCATCATACCACCGCCTCCATTCAGAACAACCATGGGCAAGTCGCATAAGAAGGAGCACACATCGGCCGTCGTGGACACCGCCGCTGACGAGTCAACCGCCCCTGGTATTCTGGCGCCCATTGCGCACCCGCTGGCCGACAAGAAGCTTGCAAAGAAGATGCTGAAGACCGTGAAGAAGGCGGCCAAGCACCGGCACGTCAAGCGCGGCGTGAAGGAGGTTGTGAAGGGCCTGCGCAAGGGCGAGAAGGGCCTGGTCGTGATGGCCGGCAACATCTCGCCGATGGACGTGCTGTCACACATCCCGATTCTGTGCGAGGACAGCAACGTGCCGTACTGCTTTGTGCCGACCAAGGAGGAGCTTGGTGGCTCGTGCTCGACCAAGCGGCCGACGTGCTGCATCATGATTGTGCCGGGCGGCAAGGGCGGCAAGGGCGAGGCCCACGAGGACTACAAGGACTCGTACGATGAGTGCTTTGCCGCTGCGAAGGAGCTCGACGACAAGCTGCTGGAGACTGCCGCTGCTGGTGTTATCCAGGCGTAACAAAAAACAACCAACCCGTGTTTCTTAGTACTCTAAAAATATTTTAAAAACCTTGCTGATACAAGGCACACGATTGCAACTGGTACTGACATGCAGATCGGATCGAGATGTGGTGCTTTATTGCTGGTGTGAAGACAGCGCTTGCTTGCAGAAAGGTCCTTACTTGGACTCCTCCTCCTCCTCATCGCTGGACTCGTCGAACTGGGGGAGATCGCCAGGAGCACCGCCGGCAGCACCGGCGTTGGCCAACATCTGGCTGAAGTCCATACCACCAGGCATGCCAGGCATGCCACCCATTCCAGGCATGCCACCCATTCCAGGCATACCGCCCATTCCAGGCATACCGCCCATGCCAGGCATGCCGAACTGCGAAAAGTCCATGCCATCCGGCACGGCAGGGGCCTCGTCCTCCGAATCATCCTCATCTCTCCAGCGAGCGAAATCGGTCTTGACAAAGTTCAGCCTGACCTTCTCCTTGGTCAGTCTCGGCCACCACTCGCCCTTGGCCTTGTTCAGCACCATGAACACGTAGCGTCCCGTAGCGGACCGCTTCGACGTCGCGATATCGATCTTGTCAAAGAAGTCAATGTGGAACGCGTAGTCCTTCGCGTCCGTCGTGTTCTTGAAATCAATTGAAGTCTCCTGCAGGTCGATGTCCGCATCCTGCGCATCGTGCAGGTTCACTGTCAGGTAGACGAGGTCCTCGCGCTGCGCCCAGAGAACTTCGGGATGACGGCTACAGCAAAAAAGAGACGCGCTTAGCATATCTGCGCATGGAATTTCAGGCGGCCCATGCTCCTCTGATAAACTTACGTCGTGCTGGCCATTCTTGTTAGCAATTGGGAAATGTGAGGTAAAAAGGTTGTTGAAATTGTCGAGAAGAGAGAGAAACGGTGGCCATGCCCTCGTGCGTGGACCGTGGTTTTGTAGCTCTGAAAGCTCGCGCAAGAACTCGCTGGAAGGTTTACCAGCCGCTTGACGTAATCCGGTTGCCCCCTGATCCCAGCGGGCCTGGATGCAGATCACGCCTGTGTAGTTTTCCAAAGCCTCGCAAAGTATCCTGTCTGAAGTGGATGTAGCTGTACGTACGAAGTAAAATATAAAGCACTCTTGGATTTATTAGAGTTGAATGCACAGAAAGTATATGGAAAGGGTCGAGCTACCCCTATGTGCTCTCATACATTAGCAACGAGGAAAATCTGTGAACTACATATAAACCCCACTGTATCAGACTTGCTCCTCGGATGTTGCATGGGACCAGCTCATTGGCTGGTGGCTGTGGTCGGTCGTCTGGCTCATTGTGCTGCACGCTTATGACTGGAACACATAGCCAGCTTGTAGCAGTCAGGTATACAATCCAATGTCATCGCTTGCTGGCGTGCTGCGCATCCTCACTTGCTGCGAACATCCTCCTGGTAAATCGCCCGCAGTGCACGACCCAGAAAAGAGGTGCAACAAGGAAAGCATTAGCCGATTTGCATGTCGTTTCTCAAGTTTGGTAAACCAGCACATAGTTTATTTTTTTCGACAGCCCGTCCTCTGCCAATAGCGACAGCTAAAAGAGATTGAGGATCGCTTTTGCACATCGTTTGCGAACGGCATAGTCCATAGAAAGTCAGATAGGAGGCTAGCATGGCGTTCACCAGTTGCCATTTGGTAGAGATTCTCGCTGCTATTCAACTTGCTCTCTCGTTCTCATCATCTTAGGTTTGGAGCAACTGCTTGAAATCATCCTAGCACTATGGGCATACGCTCAATGTCTATTTACATATCGCTCATTGGCATGCTACTCCTGTCGACATTGACCAGCGGCGTGGTTATCGATAAGCAAAGCACACCCGATGTCCGTAGAGTTTCTGGCAAGAATGGCTAGCAGACATTTTGCGAAGTGGATCTGTTCAGAAACTCGTCCGGCTATGCTGCTGCAATCTGCTTCGATTTCGATAGTTCTGGCGGCCTTGGCTCAAGCATAAAGTACGGGGTTTACATTGAAGGTATCAACAGTTGTCCATAGAACAGAACAGCTATCGAGCAAATCGATATAAACCCACACTATGACTCAACCACATTGGCAAACAACATCGCTATACTTCAGTTCAATTCAGGGAAAGCCAACATTAGCATTGGCTCACTCACGGGCGGAATCGAGCTCAACTACATCTATTCTCGTCGGGTTCTCGATGTCGTATCCAGCATGGACTGGGAGATGTGCTGGCTAGAAAGCTACCTGCCTCGGAGGATGTATGCATGCAGGCATATCCTCTGTTTGCTGCAAACACAAACAGCATGCTCTGCATTACTGAGTCTGCATATGCGGCAGACAGCCCTTCATATGCTGTGCTATACGCGACGGTATATGCCAGGACAAGTAGAGGCAAATCCGGGCTAGACGGCATCTACTCCCACTCTGCAGCATACGGAGCCGACCTTTTGCAGCGGAGCAAAAATGTTCCATTTACTACACGCGGATTGACAACTACATATGCTTCTTGTCTGACATCAGCGTGTATTTTGGAACCTTTTATCTCGGGGGATGTATCCAAGTTTACGGTGTCAAAAGACAATGATTACTAGCTGGCGACTTCTAGCGTGGCGGCCGTCTCAGGTACAAAGGTTGTTGGCCCTCTGGGATTAGACCTCGTAACAGGCTCGTGTACACGCCTTCATCCTCCGGAACCTCGTCATCATCATCTCTATCAGCAGAATCAAAATCTGAACCAGTGTCGGCATCAGTATCACGGTCACTGACTGTTAGAACAGAAGCCTTGGATACCGCGACACCTTCTACTAGGTACAGCAATGGCCTTGTGGTTTTCTCAACTACTACTAGGGAGACCTCCAGCACAGACTCGAAGAAGGATGAAGGCGGAATTTCCAAAGGCACGGTCATTGGAATTGCCGTTGGCTCGACCACGGGCAGCTCTGATTGCGATATTTGATATCATATACTGCCTTTAAGCGCTGAAAAAAAAAGCCAAACGCAATGCATCCTGGGATCCTTCTTCGGAAACACTGAATCTTCGAGTGATAGGAATCGATATCGGCAGTGCAGGAAATATCTCTGATGACCTTCCACTCAAGTATAATGATATCCGTGCGAACAACTTCTTGACGAAATAGTCTCGATGAAGCAAATGAAATCATAAATAAAGCATGTTGCTTGCCCATTTTTGAATTACATATATCACTTTATCAGCAATTGCCATGGCCAGGCAAGGGTAGCGGTCCATTTATATAGTAGTAGCGAGCAATGCGCAACATCAGAAAACATGCATGCTACCTTATGCTCTGGTCATTAAAACGACTATTTGTTAGGGCGATGTCTAGACCCGGTGCAGCAACGTGATATCTTTATCGCTCAAAACGCTTGCCATATACCGCTTGGCAAAAACGCTATGTCGAAAGGATTTTTGTGATCCATCATTACAGCCTTGACCTTTTCGTATGAGCCCAGGAACACGAATCCACCGATGCTGATCCAGATAGTGCCGGGCACAACTCCGCTGAACAGAGCCCTGAAGCCCTCCTCGCGGGCGATCCGCACAAGCGTGTTGCCAATACCCGAGTACTGCATGTGTGCCTCCATGCCCTTCATTGACAGCATGACCCGGGTCTTTACGACATCCAGCGGGGTTGTAACGGCAGCAGCAAATCCACCCGAAATCGATCCGCATACCGCCGCCTCCATGCCTGGTTGGCCTACCCTGCTTCTTCGCATACCACACCTTCATGTACTCGTAGATCGGGAACTGAATGCATGTAAACGGAATCTCTCGCACCACAGTCGTCAGGTAGCCGCGGTAGAACCCCAGAATGCCCTCTGCATGGTATGTGCCGCGGACTGCCTTGCCTAGCGATGGATGGTGTTTGGTCTGCAGTCTCTGCTTGATCACCTCAGTGGGCACGCGGACCATGCAGGCGGCGACCTCACCGGCGGACGCTGCAAACATGTGCACGGCCTGGCTGGTACTCTTTGGAAACTCGCCGCTCGGCCATGGCCTTGACTTTTTCGTATGTGAGGAAGAACATGGCGGCGCCCGGGGAGGAGCCGATCACAGCCGACGAGAGACCGGCGTAGATACCGCGGAAGCCCCCGCTTGCCAGAAACCCGCCCTTGGCTTGTAGCCGCGGTCTTGATTGTGTCCAGTGGAAACAGCGCTGTATCGACGGCCATACCAGCAAGTCCGCCGGCGATAAGGCACTGAAGGTTGTTGGGAGTACGTGGTTCATGCGCCATCGCTTCTTTATGCGGTACGTTATCAGAAGGCGGTCTATGCCGTGAATTCAGAGTAGCAAATTAGAAAAAAAAAAAAGGTGTCAGTGGCAAGGCAGAAAAGTGTGGTGGGATCGGACGCTTGGGAAAGCGTTACCGTGAGCCTCTCCCGAGCCAGGCGCCCTCCCCTCCCTTTCACCCGCTGCCGACGGTGCATTTTCCTACCAACTGCCTGCGGATCGTGTCCCCTCTCCAATGTGGAGCCGAGCAAATCGGCCCGCGGAACATGAGCCGAATTCGCGCCCATTTTCTTGATTGCTCCGCCAGCTCCTGAGGAGTGCAATCAGATGGAGCCGATATTCGCCGCGCCTGCGATTAAATCAGGCAGTCCTTGGACCGGTCTTGGCCAGCCAGCTTGTCCTGAATCATGTGGTGCTGGGAACATGGAGATCGTTCATATGCACATGCCCGCACACGCTGCATGCACTCTGTCAGCACAGGTCTGGACGAGGCGACGCCATTGATTGTAAGGGTGTCATTGCCATGTATCGCAGCAGCAGTCTAGCCTGCCCCCAAGGTTGGCGTGGTGCGCGTGTTTCCAATTGGCAAAAACACAACAAAGGAAGACGAAAACAGTGATTGGGCCATGTTTGTTG